CTGATGCTGCCTCAGGTGTCCCGCCCGGTCTTGTACTGGCTCGTGCAGCCGGGGTACTTGCAGCTGTAAATCTTGGGCGGCTCGCGGCTGTGCTTCAGCCTCTTGTGCTTGGCCATGCTGCCTTTGAACCACCTTGGGTGTCCCTTTGGCCGGTAGCCGCACTCGTCGCATTTGGAGTCGGCTTCGACGATTCGGTCGTCTGGTACCGGTTGCTGTTGGGGGGTTGGTTGTGGTTGTGGGGAGGAGGAGGTGGCAAGGTTGAGGTAATCATCCATTGATTGTTGCTGCTGCTCTGGAGAAGGAGAAGAAGAAGAAGAAGAAAAGTTGTCGAGGTCGGGGAGGAGGTTCTCAATGTAAGTGATGCCCAGGCTGTGGTAGTCGCTTCGCCGGCGGGTTCCCAGGGCGGGGTCGTGGACGAGGTAGACTTCGTCGATGAGCTGGCGGGTTTGGGGGACGAAGAAGTCGTAGTACCGAGAGGAGGGGAGGGTGGTTTGGCCGGCGTGGAGGAGTTCGATTTCGAGTTTACGGATGCTGGAAGTTTGCCCAGAGGTCAAGTTTCGGAATGTTTGTCTGAGCTTCTCTCGCAGGTCGGGGCTGTCATAGGTCCGGGTGAGTTTTTCTAGGATGGGTTTCACTGTTTGTAGGAGGGCCGGGTTCACCGCTCCGTTTTGGTGCGAGTCTTGGGTGTGTTTGACGAGGAGAGCCGCCGGGTCTTGCAGATCGTGGAGGTGGGAGTCGGACCCGAAGAGCATTTTCATTTCGAGTTCTAGCGACGTTAGCGGTTGGTTTTGTGACAAGAGACAGTTGGAAAGCTCACCATCAAGGAAATCCCAAGCAGCCGCACGAAACATATCTGGCGGCTGCGATCTCATCCCATGGTGGCCTACTGGCGATTTCCCCTTGGAATCTGGAAACATGCTGCCGACCGTATCCAGGCTTCTCTGGACACCAGACGATGCTAGACCCTCGGGCTTCCAGATGAAGTCGGCCAGTTGCTGGTAATCCGGACGGTCTTGCTCTGGCATCATGCCCATGAGCGGAAGAGACTGGAGATATAGTCCCCTCACACGTTTGTGCGTTCCCTCCTGATACACAACCAAGGCAAACGCAAACACGAGATGCGCCAGGCACAGCGCGTCGTCCGCAGTCGATGGCTGAAACCCATCAAGGTACAAGCGCAAAGTCCGCAGCCCCCTCTCCGCTATCGTCTGAATCGACATGGACTTGAGCTGCCGCGCAAGTCGATTTCCCCGGATGTCCTGGATTTTGACCATCGATTGCACGACCTGCTCCTGCAGTACTTCCCAGGCTGAGTCGACCATCGACCTCGTTTCTGAGCAGCATGGATCAGGTTGCGAGACTTCCACCATCTCCCTGCTGTCGTTGTCGGGCAGCTCGGCCACATTGCTTGCCATCGAGGGCCCTGGGGCGTGATCGAGATCGAGATCGAGTGTCATTGGGAGTTCATTCATCGCCAGGATAGGGTCTGGAACAATACCATCCACCATCGAGGAAACCGGAAAGTCCGCTGGCAACTCGGAGTAAAAGTTGTGCAGGAAATCCGGGCATCCATTGTAGTCGTAACCGGCGTCGCCAAAGGGATTTTCGAGCATGGCACCGTCGATGGGGGACGTCATGTTTGTGTTCATGCCGTCCGGTGTCGACCAGGCCCCACCGCTATAGTTCGAGATGGGAGAGACCAATGAGTTGGCATTGCTGTAAACAGTATCGTAAGAGTTGGTGGTCCCATGACTGTCCGTGGTAAGGTTGCTGAAGGTGCTATCGTAGCTGACGTTACTATCGTTGCTAACGTTGCTGGTCGTCGTGTCGGTGCTTGCTGTCGACCTTACCGAGGAGCTGGGCGACAGACCTTTACTGCGTGGAGCAGTCGATGTTGGTCGGGACACCGGTCGAGGAGGCGCCTGGTGACGGGCGTATGGATTATTTGTCGCTAGCTGGAGTGGCGGCCTGACGTAACCAAACTGCTGCATGCTGTCGTCCTGTAATGTTATCGGCATTTGTAATGGTATCTGGGGCATCGCCATGTCAAGCGTGTGGTCCCACTCCATGGTGCTGGCATCGAGCTCTGGGAGGCTTGGCGGTATGATGGGTTGGGGGACTAGCAGGTCTTGTGGATCAATCGTCGGATACTGCTGCTGCTGCTGCGGCGGCGGTTGCTGTTGTGGCGCCATGGGGACTTCGATCTCGTTGGAGTCGGCTTCTAGAATCTCGGTAAGGGGTAGTTCGGCGGCATTTCCAGGCAGTGGTGGACCTGGCGCCGGTCGAGAAATGGATTCGTAACTCGGTGGTGGTTGGTGTGTCCGCTCCTCGTCGATGGTAGAGCCCTGTTGACCCTTTTTTGATTTGTGGCCCAGGCCGTGGAAAAGCTTCTTGGCTATGGTGAGGACCTTCTTCGCCCGGGATGGATGGCCGAGACACTTCTTGCATCTGATATCGTCAAAGTGCTCCACCCTCATGTGGTTATAGCACCAGTATTCCCCCGAGGCAAGATATCTGCACCCTGCCAGATGCTTGAGCATTGATTCGTGATCGGTGAGCTTGTGGTTGCATTTGAGAAGGGGGCATTCCGTCTTCTTTTCCGGATGCTTCCTGAGAGACTCGTTGCGTTTCACGGCAGCCCAGACGATGAATCTGTGTCGGGCACAATCTTCTTGGGACGTCTCTTGGGATCTGGATGGGATTAGCACAACCGACTCTCGCTGATGGGTTTCCTTTAGGTAATACATACACGCAGGACAACATGGGTTGCTCATTCAAGTCCAGGTCGAGGTCTTGGTCAAAGTCAGTGAGCTTCTGGGAGAGGGGCGAGGTTGAAGTGAAGCTCGCCCCATCCCCACCGTCTGTCAACAGACGGCCATGGCGGAATAGGGGTGGTGAAGACCGGAATGTTGGGTGATTTGAGTTTGAGGACTGGAGAGAGTGGTCCTCCAGGAGGGAATAGGGTTTCTTGAGGTCCATTTTTGGTGGACCGTGATGCTGTAATGGCAACAACAAAAAGGTCGTGGCACTTTCAGAGAGAGCTTTCTCAAAGAGGGGCGATTTTCTCTTCTGACCAACCGAACGGGACGACAGACGACAGGGCGAGTGAGAGCTAACGGCAAGCAACGAACAAGAGCATTCCGCCACCCATTTTAGTTTTATTTGGGATCTCGCCGTGCGCGCTGAACAATGCCAGTGGATGAAAGGCAGACTGGGCAGGGGCAGGTCGCGGAATTGCTCCTCTCAAGGTCCTAGCTGTCTGGCAGAGGCAGCGAAGCAGAAGCAGAAGCAGCGGATTAGGACTCGTAGGACTTGACCCATGCTATGCAGTCAAGAGGCGGCAGAGCGTGGTACCAAGGCCCGGTCGATGAGGATTGGCTGCCTCTTGGCCAACGCTGTTCAGTGTCTGTCCAGCGCGCGGTGCTGTGATTGGACGTCAAGCTGACCCGATCGATGATTCCCGCTTCGAGTCCGTTCCTGAGTCCGGCAGATGGCATCAATGAATGATGTGGCCTGTTCTCTACGAAGTAGGTTCAGAGTGTGGAAAACTCATCACCGCTCTCTCCTGAACTACCTAAATATTCTGTGGCCGCTTGGCTTGGCACTATGGTATTCTATTGCCGTTTTCCGGTCACAACGGATCTGCCTCGTGTGTGTTGGGGCTTGCACGGCGGGCCAATCGTAAGCCCCCGTGGCTTGAACCCCGCGAGGCAGATTTTCCCAGATGCTGGCTCTTGGCGCTCCGTTAACACTGGCTAACGAGACCCGATGAGATCTTTGTGTTCTTGAGATGCCGTCTGACGTTCGAACCTGACCGAGAGAAGATGGTGAGCTAAAGACATGATGGTTGGAAGACTTGGGACAGGGAACAGGAGTCAGAGGCAAGGCTGCGTGAGCCACACGAAAAGAAAAGAACTCGTGGTCCCGAGGCACCAACAGACGGTCCTGGAAGTCCTTCCTCGGAATCCAGGTTCTCCGTTATCTTCATCCTCGTAGCCTCTTCTCAGCTGAGGTCTTCACCGAACGAGACGAGGTTCCGGCGACACGATCGAGTTGGTTGCCGACCAGGCCGGTCGCTACCACCCCGGTGCCCATCCGTTCCGCTCTCTACAGCAGCCCGTCCCCGTTCTCATCCCCCGGAGCGGCCGCCTCTACTCGAGGCCAAGGCTGGCACCCGTCTAACCAAAGCTTGGTACGCGGGGTGTTGGCAACGGGCTGCTGTATTGGTATTCTTGGGTCTCGAGCGATAAGAGTGTTTCTTTTTCGCCCGTCCCCGCCGATGTCCAATTGTTTCATGCAAAGCAAACCTGGGGAACCTTGCTGGATTCTCTCGGTGCAACTCTCATTCTGAAGCAACTGGGAGCTCCCTGCTCACTGACGAACGGGGATTTTCTGCCTACATTGTTAGCGCCAACCACCCCGCGTTGTATAACAATATCACCTTCAACCTTGAACATGTGAAGAAAGATGCTGTTATCTTGTTGATCTCAACAGAGTTTCTTTCACGGCGGCTCCCGTCTTGATCATGAGAAGATGGTCCAAATGTCAGACAACCTCGAGGCATCAGGGTCCATTCTCGTCTGAATGAAGACTGGTCCAGCAAAACGTAAGACACTGCCGAAAATGGATGCGAGCAATGCAGGAGCTGCAGCCTAGGTGTTTGAGATTCAAGCTTTTTGCTGGTCGAGGCGGCGATGGCGGGGCACGTTCCATTCACTTTCCTGTGACAACAACTCTCAAACATGGCCAGCAGCGTTTGGGTTATCCCTTCTTGCCTATACCGTCCATGTGTTTCTCTCATCGCCTCGCCAGAAATGGCAGCGAGCAGCTTTCTGTTCCTATTTTCTGGGAATAATCCCACGAATACAACCTGATGATATGGCCATCACGGCACTGTCCTGTTTCAAGTTGATGCTGGGTGTTGGATGTTGGGAGAAGCCCCCGATTTCACAGCGTCGAGACCCGCTGTTTTCGAGCGGCATCCCCACCGCAAGGGTCCTGGCGCCGGCCGGTCTCAAACAGCGGCCGGCTTCTTTTTGGCACTCGGGAGGAATCATGGAACCATGGGTCCTATCATGGTCTGTTCTCTTTCTCTGGATCGCCGGGTGAGCTGGAAGGATGATGAATCTATGGTTCTGTGCCGCTCGTGATCTGCGTATTCTTTTAATCCTTTTGGACGGCTCAAACAGAGACAACATGCAAGTCAGCAAAGTCTTGGATAAATCAACGTCCACTCGGCTATCTGCGATGGGCCATCTCGAAACAAGTTGAACAGCGCCAGAGGGGGTCCACTCGTCACCATCACAAGCACGAACTTGCATCATCGCATGTGCTCCTAGGAGAGCCAACCACGCCGCGAGATGCTCTGAAGGAAGAGGGTGTGTGTGGTACCGCACAGCAAAGCCGCTCTGGTTGGCACACGCCGTGCGAGAAGGCCGCGGTCGAAGCCCCTAATCATGACGCCTCATTGGTCTGTATTTCATTCTTATCGACCTTATCGACTAACATCAGTCTGGACCCTTTTTGCACTCCCCCAATCCCAAACTCACACCCCAGCCGTGGTTTTTTTTTTTTTTCCCTCGCTTCGCCCACAGACTCTCCCCTTGGTTGGGACTCGGTCGTCCGTCGTCTGAGCACGGGGGGTCCTCCCCGGTCATGCTCATCGGTGCCGGGCCACAACTGTTAAAAAGAGGGAAAGGCCCTGTAGTTGCCGTGATCTCGACTGTCTCGGAAAGCTGGAGCTTCTTACCCCTATCTCCTCTTTCCTGTCGTGAAAGCAAAGCCACCCCGTTGGAGGCGCTGGACGACTCCTCGAGTTTGGTACCGCTGATTCATGCCCGTCGATGCTTGCATCTATACCGTATTCTCTGTCGTCATTTTCATCTTCTCCCGTTGAAGGCGGTTGGCCCTTATCTTGCTTTTAATATCCAAGTCTGCCCCCCCCCCCTCTCCCGTCCTGTACGTCGTCTAATATCGATACCCAAGCTGCTGGTCTCGGGCAACCCCCAAAATGTGAGTCCCGGCCTTATTACACCTAATCCCATGCCACCCTCCTATCTACTATTTGCCTCTGCTTCAGCCCAGGCCATAGTGGATGTTTGATATAGTCCCAAGTCTCGGGAGGGGTGAAATCCACAGGGCCGGGCCCTGTATTAGCAAAACGCGGCTAACAATTTTTCTTTGTTTTATTTTCCCCCATTTCAGGCGCACTACTCCTCTTCATCACTGCCGTCCGCGGCCTTGTTTCTCAGACTCGATGAAATCCAGCACATACGGATACGCATACTCGGTCTATGACATGGACGGATCACCCCAGGCCGTCACCGAGCTCGACCTGAGCGCCTGCCACCCCAACTCCATTGTCGACAGGATTAATGCCATGCCCGCGTTGAAGACGAGTACTGGTGAGTCCATTTCTTTCTCATCTTTCTGTTGTCATTAGAGTCTACCTACCCCTCTATTGGGACCCCTCGGCCCAAGAAAAATTTCCCAATGTCAACATGCCCCGCTATTCAGGAGAGAGTTATGTCACCACTCTTCAAGAGACATATTTCATGTTGTCTTGTCTCGGGAAATAAATTGGTTTTCAGTTACATTCAATATCGCACCTCGTTTATCCTGTCTCTGGAGATTTGTCCCCCTTTCCCACCTTGACTTCTCACGCGACACATTACTGCCGTGGGAGAGAAAAATCTCCAAAGGGGGAAACCAAAAATCCCGGTGCGGGGCATCATTCAATCCCACCCACCAAGCCCCAACTGCCATGTCCACCAGAAACATCACCGTTACATTTCCGATACAGCCAAGATTTTTCACGTCGCTTAAACTCTTAACAAAACACCTTGATCAAAAACACCAAACTTACATTTTCATGTCAATAGCATTCTTCACCTTCCTCCGCGCCAACCTCGTCCTCCCCCACAGCGCCATGTCCTCCAACCCATCAACCCCCAACCTAGCACCCTCTTCTCTCCGAAGGTCACCACCAACCCCCCAATCCCATTCCCGCCCAGCAACGCCCATCCCAACCACCACCCTCGACGAAGAAGATGAGATCCCCCCCTTGACCCTCGAAGTCCTGACCTCCAAGCCCGACAAAACCGCGGCGTTGAAGCTCATCGCCGATAGCATCGCCCAACAAAGACAAACCGCCTCAAGCCATATAATCACCCACCCCCTCCCCCTCTCCTCCCTCATCGCCACCTTGGCCATAACCTACCACTTCTTCCTCTCCTCATCCGACCTCGGAACAAAACTGATGATCCTTTCGTCATTGGTAACGACATACCTCCTTACCGTACGGTACCTCACCTCCCCATTCATCCGCCTCGCCGAAAGCATCACCCCTTCCTTTCTCGGGTCAGACTCTCCCGAAGATCAGGACACCGTTATTGCCTGCCGGTACGGGGGGGAGATTATTGGGGTCACGGTGTTGCATATTTCCCGTCCGGCGGGGCAGTCAGATCCCAATTTCAAGAGGCATAAACAGAGGGGCAGTTTGAGTTCGTTCAAGGGGGGGAAGGGGGTGATCAGGGCTTGGACGGTCAAGTCGAGGTATAGAGGGAAGGGGTTGGGGGGGGATATGCTGAGGGAGGCGGTTAGGTTGACGAAAGAAAGATGTGGGAGGGATGGGGAGGTGGGGTTTGCGAGGGGGCATGCTAATGCGGGGTTGATTCCTGTGGGGGGGAGGGGGGAGGACAATAGACAGGGAGATAGGGAGGAGGAGATGGTGTTGCCGGAGTGGTTGAACCGGGGGTGGTTGAGGAGGTCTGAAAGAAAGGCGGCGCAGGCGCTGGAGAGGGTGGTGAGTGAGTTTGGGAATGGGAAGAGGAGATGAATCTGACGAGCTTGGGAAGAGAGGGAGGGGATAGAGACGGTGGAAAAAGGGTTTTCATTTTTATTTGTTGGGTTTGATACCATGGGCTGGTCGGGAACTACACAATCGCTTTTTTACACACGGCAAATTGCTTCTTTTTGGATACTGGGTTTGGGGCAACGGCGTTCTGTTTCTGGTCACCTACTCTTTTTTTTTTTTGGGGGGGCGGGGGGGGGGAATCTGCGATACCACCACCACCACCACAACAACAACAACAACAATAACAACAACCAATCGTTATTCATTCAAGAGATACCACATAGACTTTCGCTAAAGAGTCCTACATTAATATTATCTATACCTGATTTATCACATTTGCTTTTCATGGTTGTGTGTGTGTATAGAGTGGAATGTTTGTCTTGTGGTGATAAGTCTGAAAAGGGGGCTGACATCAATCCGGTTGGGTTGCGAAGTCAACAAATCCTCCCGAGACACCCGCTCACATCACAAACCCAGCAGTGAGGTTCAATAAGGTACCAACTTTGAATTCCCCTAAAACAATTGCAACCCTTGCAAACTCGGTGTACACACACCTGCCGGCCCATCCCATCCCAAATAGTATGTGCCCCGTGACCAACATGTTTATCCCCAATGACAAGAACCAATGGTTTGCCAATTGCCTCCAGAATCCGTTGTACTTTGGGATGCCCGCGGCAAAGGAAATAAACCGAGTGAAAAATCACCGCAGCAGCCTATCCACCCAAAACGCCAACCTTGTGTTCCGTCCATATCCTACACCCCCAAAACGCCGTTGACAGAATAATTAGGAAAGATTTCCGACAGACGAATTTATGACCTTAGTCTTGATCCATATCCTGCGACGCGCCCGCAATCGCCTTTCTCCTCATTCCCGTCGTAGGGGCAGTATAAGTCTCGGGATCAAAACCATAGATCGGACGACCGATACGGCGGAGGGCAAAGATGACCTAACTCTCTGTCAGTTGGATCAATGGAGGTTGGGGCGGGGTGGGGGGGACTAACATCCTCGACCGTGACGGTCTTCGCACCGCGATACTCGGTATAAGTAGTGATATCCTTCAGGATCTATCAACATATTAGTCCTGTCAAAGAAGGGAGGAGAGTGGGTGAGAGTGGTGAGCAAAAACATACCACTGAAAGCCTATCCTTGAGAACCTTACGGACCTCCTCGTAGATCATCCCCGAGATACGCTTAACGCCACCGCGGCGGGCGAGACGACTGGATGATGTATATATTAGCAGGTAAATTCTTCGGTCTGATGATTTGAAGGTGGTGGTGGTGGTGGTGGTCGGTCGGGTAGGGGGGAAGCAAGTCGCTCGGAACGAAAAGTCGCAAAGCAACATATCCGCCATCCCAGCTTGTGATCCCATGGTTCGTGTGTTCTTGACAAGTCGCATCCCCAACTCTCACAAACCAACTGGACTCGCGACTCACCACCTCCCCCCCCCCCGCCCAAAAAACAACAACAACAAAAACATACCGAATCGCAGGTTTAGCTATCCCCCCAAAATAATTAGCATCTCATTCATCCCCAACCTCCCATCATCATCAATGATAAAACCCACTAATCCCCTGAATCGTGTCCTTCAAAATCCTCCTATGTCTCTTGGCCCCCACCTTCCCCTTCCCAACCCCGAGCGGCGCCTTCCCCCCAACACTCCTCATCACCGCCTTGGCCCTCGACGAGGAGGGACCACCTCTGGCCGGCAAAGTAGGCGGCATTGTCTTCGCGACTTCTTGTAGAAATTGAAATTGAAATCGTAAACAAACAACACTCAGTAGATATCGACAAAACAGGTCATGGCGCGCAACAATTGAACTGGAACGGTAGGTGATGGTGGTGAGTTAAACAACAAGGAAAGGTAGGTAAGTCGGGGAATGAAGTGAGTGAGTGGCGAACAACGCTTGAAATCAAGCATAACTCGTCCCTATTGGCCCGTGCGCCTCACTAACAGGAGCCCGGGCAAAGTCGCTGGGTGGCTGTCAAGGCTGATGCCTAAAAATAAAGCTGAGAATATTAGTATTTGAATATATTTATCAACAATGCAAACGGATGGTAATAAATATATATGAAAAAGCAAACGGAACAATTGGTCTTAAGAGCACAATGAACTGTAGAAAACCTAAATAACAAGAATCAATTATATTAAACCGAGCCCCATATCATCACCACCAACCCCCCATCTACCGCTCTATGTGTTCGTGAGAGATCTCCCCCTTTCCTGCTCCAACATCATTATTCAACCCCCCATCACTATTTCCTTCAGGGGGATGTCAATGTTTATATACCTTCGTGGCTTTGTTTTGAGAACCCTCTCTCTGCTCATCAGACACACCTCGAAACGCCAACTCCAAATGTGTATAACTCAACTTCCCGTCGTAGTTCCAAACAAGTTGACTTGTAAAAAAATCACTCGGAAATAAAGGTGGACTCGGCAAAGACGGTGCCCTGCTCGCTGACTTCTTGGCCGTCGACCTTGATCTTGAGAGTGAGTTTTTGTTGTTGGGGGTAGTACTACGTTTCATATTAGCACTTGACCTGTAAAACGACCACTGCGACAAAAAAACGTACCTGGTAGATATAAGGCTTTGTTCCGGCAGCACTCGAAACAATCTGCTTGACAAATCCAGGCACCTCGGCCATGACGTCTATCCTGTCGAGCCTCTTCTCCAAAGCACCCTCCAACGAAGCCTCGACCGGCTTGCCATCCTTGGTCGTTCCCGTCCAAGTGTACTTGATGGTCTCGGGCTCGGGCCACCCGTTCTCCCCGTCGCTCTTCGACTTGGTGTGAGTAACTGTGCTCTTGCAGTTCGCCATGACGATCTCCCCATCCTTGACAATACCACCAATCGTCACCTCGGTCAAGCCGTAGGAAGGAGGAGTGGTAAAATTCATCACCACAGCCGTGTAAGTGGGACCCTGGAAGTCGACAAAGTTCCACTTGGCCGCCGCGTGGTGAGGCTTCATGCCCTGGAGAGCCATGATGTACGTGGCCTTGCCCCTGAAATCGACCGGCCCCTCCTTGGTGCTGATGGTGCCCTCGGCTGTGCAGCGTGGCCAGAAAGCATGGCGCATGGTGCCCCATGGGTTCTTGAGATCGGTGCCAAACAGCGTCTTGCCCGTCCTGCCGACCTGGAAGCCGGGACCGGCCCGCTTGATGGTCAAGTTGACGATGGCCCGGTCGTCATTCATCGACTTGATTGTGTAGGTGGTTCCGTCCTCGGAGAGCTCGACGGCGCAGTCGTCGGCGAAGAAGCTACTCTTGTCCTCGCTGAAGTCGGGGTTGGTGAGCTGGGTCGAGCACCAGAGGTGGGGCTTCGAGGAATCGAGGCTAAAGAGCTTGCAGTTGAACTGGCAGGTCGTGTGGATGCCCCTGCATGATGCAGCGTGTCAGCGTGTGCGCAGAGGGGTCGCTCTCACATATGAAGCTTACGCCACGTTACTATAGATGACTTGGGCAAACCCAAGCTGACCGTTGTCAGCCATGAGGTAGAAGCTCTGGGTCTCGACGCTGGTCGAGGTCATGGCCTGCCATTTCAGGTCATCGCGGGTGAGCTCGGTATAGGGTGTGGTCTCGGCCTCGACGGCAACGGACTGGATTGCCTCAGGGCCATAGATGGGCTCCTTGGTGCCGGCGACGTTGGCGAGCCTAAGGGAGAAAAAAAGGGGTGTCAGTCGACCAATACAACAACAGTCCGTCCATGGAGAGGTTCTTACTGCTGCTGCGCCCACTTGAACATGTTTGCGGTTTGTTTGCGAAGGAAGGGGTGAAAAGTTACCGTTGCGATAATAATCGTCAGAACCGTGCTTTGGGTCGAAATGGAGAGAGAGTGAAAAGAGCAAGGTCTGAAGCCGTTCACCGCCGTCAAAAGAGATCCTCGAATAAAAGATGGAAAGAGGAGGGGCTAATCTCCTATCCGCTGTATTCGGTGGCACGCTATCATCCACTGGACGTCACTGCTCCTCCGCCCCAACGCACGGGTCCCTATAAAACAGGGTTCTCTCTGAAAAAGCCCCACTACGCCGCGCATCCAGAAGTCTAACTTGTGGCTGAAACCGCTCCTGGAAGTTCCAAGAACGGGCACATCGGCTGTGGCTGAAGCGGTGCAACCGCCCACCCGAAATTTTTGGTCTGGAGCAGCTCGGCGCCGCTCGCGAGAACCTCACCACCCCAGCTCCGGAGCTGTCAACCCACACCTTTTCGCGACGCCATTGCACCCTCGGACCGAGTCACCGATTATTTCCCTCCCGAACAACCGTCGATACCGAGCCTCACAATGTCCAAGGCAGCGGCAGGTGGTGCCAAGGGCCTCGAGCAGGTCGTCAAGATCATTGTCGGCGCCGGCCAAGCCAGTCCTAGTCCTCCCGTCGGTCCTGCCCTCGGTTCCAAGGGTATCAAGTCGATGGATTTCTGCAAGGTCGGTCAAAATCAAGAGGGAGGAGGAAGGGGGAGCTCGGCATCGAAATGTTGACATAAGGGGGATATGTAGGAGTTTAATGCGAGGACGACACACATCAACGTCGGAACGCCATTGCCCGTCCGAGTCACCGTCCGGCCCGACAGAACCTTCCACTTCGAGATCAGGACGCCTCAAACATCATGGCTATTGCTCAATGCGGCCGACGTCCCGATTGGAAAGAAGGGCAAGAGGAAAGGTGCCCAGAAGCCAGGCCACGAGACTGTTGGGTCAGTTAGTCTCAAGCATGTCTATGAGATTGCAAAGATCAAACAGTCAGAGCCCCGGTTGTCCGGTCTGTCATTAGAAGGCATTTGCAGATCGATTGTCTGGCAAGCCAGGGGGATGGGCATCTCTGTGGTTGCTTAGAGGGGTCAGAGGACAGGCTGGGTTTGGGGGCGTTACGGTTGTTTGCAAAACATCTTGATATCCGACAAGAGACGGGAATAGCCATAGCATTGTAGCTGTGGTTTTGTATATATATCACCATGTACCACCAGTTGTATGATTTCAAGAGGTACCATGCGCTGATAGTGGGAGCATGGGTGGGTGTGCAGCTTCCCCACTTACAGCTTTGCCTCGTAGGTACCTTGATAGATTCGCCCGAGCTTTTGATCACAAACTTGAGACAAAACCCAGATCTCGTGGAACTTGGCCGTTAGAGACAAGACGGGATGAGCGCTGCGAGACGTGTTTCCGGTGGTTCTTGGTGTCGCGGCCGGTCTCCAGGTTCTGTGGACAGCGGACAGCGGAGACAAGGCTGGGACGGAGGCCGGGGTGTCGTTGTTGTCCGTGAACATGTCACTGAAGGACAAGATTCGCGTGCCGAGCCCCGACCGAACCGACTCTCGGAATCATGCATCTCAACCTCCATGCGACTCACACGTGTTCGAGCTCGTTGGCTGCTTGTTGTTGGCAGTTTCCAGCTTCTGATTGGAAAGAGAAGAAACATTGGATCCGATAAGATGGATGACGAGATCGGAGAGATCATTTTCTCAACCAGCCCACCTTCCGGAGTGAGCCTCACATGTATCCGAGATATGGAGACCCCTCCATTACGTCGGTGCCCCCCATGCCCCCCTCCCCCCCAGCTCTCACTGGAAGACTGTGCGTGAGTGAGCCTTTTTTTGGTGTCCCAAACAGCCGTGAGGTGCCTTACCCAAGGAGGAAATCCCGCCCGTATCCGCGTATGCCTTTGGTCGCCACAGACTGGTAGTTGGAAGCTGGTGAAATGCTCGCTGCGAGTCAGGCTCGTGGGAAGAAATTAGTGGACAAGATCAAGAGATCAGGGGACTTGATAAAAAAAAGACCCACTGCCGGGCCCGTGAGGCCCCGGAAATGGCCGCCCTCGCTCAGGACCTGGGAGAACCCTGGGAACTTGTGGTGATGCTCAGGTGCTTGAAGGGTACCCGTGCCTCCCGCAGATGTCAGCCAACGTTGAGTGGCGCGTCTTACTGCAAACCAGGTACCGGACAAGTAGCTGAGCCCCACCACGTCGCAACGACCTCGTAGCGTATAGCGCACCTCTCTTCTCGGCGCTCCGCCGCGGTTCAGGCGCAGCCAGCCAGCAGCCGTCTCTTGTCCGTCATCTAGGATTCTGGGCCCGATTGCTCTGCTTCCTCCAGTCTCCATCTTTGGATCCTGCAAACTATCATCGTGCTTTCCCTCTTCGCGCAGGCGCAATCGCAATCGCAACCGCTTTCTTCTAGACCATCTCCATCATGGCTTCCAGTGCCCCGGCGCCGGAAGGGCAGCACGAGATCCTGAACAAAGGTGAGTCTCACCGGGACACTACCTACTCACTCACTGTGCACTGTTTCGATCGCCCCTCACTCAACCCCAAACCCCCACGGATTTCCAGTCCGCTGTTTGTTAGCGAAAGACACACCTTGCTGATTTCGACGTCGTACGCATCATCTAGAGCCCTCAAAAATCGAGATATCTCCCCCAAAAGACGAACCCGCTGCCGAATCCTCCCCCGCCGTCCGCTTCAAGTCGACGGTACAGGAGATCACCCCTGAAGATGCATCGCTCCTCGCCAACACAGACAATGTCTCACTCGGACAGCCCGGACGGGTCACATCTGAGGAAATACGTGATCTCTCTGAGCGATTGAGGAATTGTCCGCTCCAGGAACGCCGCATGAACATTTTCTCATACGAGCCAGTATCGCTACCAGTATCCAGGGTACGTATCGACGTTTCCAGGTTTCCAGGTTTTCGGGCCTATTGGCGTGTGGGTCTGGTTATCGATCGATGGTGTCTTTGTCTTGGTTGTGGCGGATTCTAGTATGGGATCAGATATCCAGCCGAGGCCTTGTGGGGTGGTCTCAGAACTTACTTTGTCTTTTGCTTTTCAGGGTCTCTTTTTTTCCTAGAACTTTAAGGCTGACGTTTGATCGATCTCGGCTTTAGACTGCATCGCGCGACGATGATTCTCGGGAACCGAGCCGGGAAGCAACAAGAAGTTCGGCGAGCCACCAGGGCTCACCGCACCTAAAAGCAAGCAGTTATATGAGGAGGAGTCCAGAAATGCATACGCCACCGCTGACACCGGCCGGCACGGACAATGTGGAAGCAGGACTGAAGAGAGAGCCGGCCGGAAACCAAGATCGCCTGGGTCGCATGCCAGATATCATCACGCCTCAAGATTCGCTCCACGAGCCTGCACCTGTCAATCCTGCTCGTCTATCCGTCCAGCATCATTCTACAACGACCGAAAAAGAGCGGGTGTCACGGAGGCCCGCGACGTCAGATGGAAGAGACCATTCCGCTCTCGGTGACCACCGAAAGGGGTTGTTCTCGCTCGGCGCCGGGAGTGGTTCCAACTCACCCGCCAGCTCTGTCCCACCGTCTCGCGATAGCAGTCCGTCCCGCGCAGCCGCTGCCTCGCTGTTCTATTCCCGACAAGCACCGCCAACTGGAGAGGCTAATGACCCCTACGCCGCGAGCAAGCGTCAAACACCAAAACAAATTGAGTCCCGCTTCATGTTCACCAGGAAAAAGAACAAGAACGCCTCGCCCAGTTCATCGACCCTGAGCCTGCCCAGAATATCCGGAGACAAGCGCCTCAACAGCGACGACAACGTTATCCACAGCCGAAATAGCTCCATGGCGGATCTGAAGAGGTTCTTCAAGCTGGGGCCAGGCAGCAAGGTCAAGCGCACCTCATCACCAGCAGCTTCGGTTCGGTCTGGTATCAAGACGCCAAAGGGCGGCCAGATTCCATTCGACAACGACCACGGTCTCACTTCCAAGTATGGAAAGCTTGGAAAGGTGTTGGGAGCTGGAGCGGGTGGTTCTGTGCGGTTGATGAAGCGCGCCGAGGACAGCACCGTGTTCGCCGTCAAGGAGTTCAGACCCCGCCACTCATATGAGACGGAGAGGGAATACGTCAAGAAATTGACGGCCGAGTACTGCATGGGGTCTTCTCTGCACCACGGCAACATCATTGAGACGCTTGACATTGTCCAGGAGAAGGGCAAGTGGTACGAGGTGATGGAATACGCGCCGTTTGACCTGTTTGCCATTGTCATGACGGGGAAGATGGCGAGAGAAGAAGTCACTTGCTGCTTCTTGCAGATTCTGAGCGGTGTTACGTATCTTCACAGCATGGGGCTGGCGCATCGGGATTTGAAGCTTGACAACGTGGTGGTGAGCGAGCGGGGGATCATGAAGATAATCGATTTTGGTAGTGCCCATGTCTTCAAATATCCTTTTGAGACGAGCACTGTTCTTGCTTCTGGTGAGTTTTTTTTTCTTCCTGGAGATGGTGTTGCCATGCGGCAGTTTACTGACTGGTTGATGTACAGGTATCGTCGGCTCAGATCCATATCTTGCGCCTGAGGTCTACGACGAAAAGAAGTACGACCCACAAGCGGTGGATATCTGGTCGTTGGCCATCATCTACTGCTGCATGACGCTCAGACGCTTCCCCTGGAAGCTTCCCCGTCTTACCGATAGCTCGTTCAAGCTCTTTGCTGCCGATCCAACGCCTGGTCACGACCCGAAGAAGCTCATTCTTCCACCATCCGCATCCATGACCGCTTTGAACAACACGCCTGAGAGAGCTTTTGTCGAAGGACAACCTGCGCCTGAAAAGTCCAAGAGCGAGGAGAAGCGGCCGTCTGGCCAAGACGGCGGCGAAAAGAAGGAAGTCATCCGCGGCCCGTGGCGTATCCTTCGACTGTTGCCCAGGGAAAGCCGGCATGTCATTGGGCGCATGCTCGATCTCGACCCAAAAACGCGCGCTCAGATGAGCGAGATTTTGGAGGACCCTTGGGTGTCAGATACAGTTATTTGTCGGCAGGTTGGACCGGGGCAGGTGGTTAATGCTGATGATCACACGCATGTGTTGGAGCCGCCTACGCCTCCTGCTCCAAAATGAGACGAGGATGGTGGCCGGTGAAAAGCCATTATTCGCATTTTTATTCGCTTCACGAGATTCTGCCAGACACTCAACGTGGTGTAAAGGTTATGGGATTTGGGGCAGTCACGGACACCAGATGTTTACATGCACGCACGAACTCACAGACTCCGACGACATCCTTTTTTTTTTCTTTACCTAATTTGCTTTTTCTACTTTTACTTGTTTTGCTCTTTTTTTCTGGTTTCGATGCGGGGAGTCTAGAGGAGCCGATATAGGCAATTCCAGCGGAATTTTTTTTTGTTACGTTTGTGCGGTTGGGCAACAGACTAGATTTGGGTTTGTTTTTGTTTCTTGGATCCCCTGAAAAAAGGGTAACCCAGGGCTGGGGGGGGAG